TTGACACGTTCGAAAACGAAATTATATGATTTTTTTTTTTTTTCTTAACTATTTGTCAGAAACGGTGGCTACGAAACTTCTCCGCTACTTGGACGATTCTGTGGGACCGATATCCCCACGGAAATTTTCAGTCAGACCAATCAGATATACTTGAAATTCGTGTCCGATCTGACGAGATCGTTCGCTGGATTCCGCATAGAATGGGACAGCACGACGATAGGTAAAAGACAAATTCTTTCAAAAGATATGATAGATAAGATAAGAGGAGCGACGTAAAAAAAAAAAAATCGTCTGTTTACGTTCTTTCGATTTTAGAACCGAACTTGATGATCAATTGTGATGAGATATTAATCACAGATTTTAATTTAATTTCTAAATGAAACTTAGAATTAGTGAAGCTTCTACGCGTAAGAAGACTGCTTAAATTAAATTTTTTTTTATTATTATTAAATTAGCTTAAGAATAAGTTAATTTAAGAATAATCTTTTCAATTATTTGACCAAGTTCAGAATCTAAGGTTTAGACATACGGAGTAATGAACATGGCTTCCTTTATCTCAGAAACTAATCATTGGCTCAACTTTGCTGTTATCGATATCCCATTATTTGGCTCCAAATTTAATTCCAGACTCAAAGGAGTAACATTAAAACTACCAATCTCCAATAGTAATCTCAAAATATTCTGCACATAAATTATAGCAATTTAAATGATAAATGAAAATAAATACATCTACAGAATCACGCCTCTGTTTAAACAAAAATCAATATTAATTTTGATAAAAATTATAATATTTTATTATATTAACTGTTTGTTTATTAAACACTGTTAAAATCCTTTGTACAATCAAACAAAAGAATCTTCTGAACGTGAATCCTGTCGGTTTTTTCGTCGTTTCAGGCTGCGGTGGAACCATGAACGCCGCTTATGGCGACATCATGTCTCCAAATTACCCGGAACCATACTTGCATCAAGCGGAATGTTACTGGAAGATCGCGGTGGCGGCCGGCAGTCTGGTACGATTGCTAATAGTCGATCTGCAACTGGAGCAGCATGACAAGTGCAGATACGACTACATCGAGATATCCGAGGGAATTAATCACCGGAACAGCCAGAGATACTGCGGCAACCCTTATCCGAAAATCATCGAGACGAAGTCTAACATGGTGACCATACAGTTCCGCTCCGACTTTACGAATTCTGGTCGCGGTTTCCATCTCAAGTACGAAACACGTGAGTCGATTTTCTCAGCAGCCCGCATTAAAGTTCCCCTCTTAAATGAATCTGGTATACTGACTCATCTGCGTCGGTGCTCGCTGATATTTACTCGCTGTATCGAAGCTTTTCATTTCAAATCCTTTTCAAGCATAATGACTCCTCGTCGAATAAGTTGATACGTGTATTGCGCGTACAGATTCTTGGTACACGAATGGATTCAATATCATGCAAATTGTTTCGTATCGAGGTAAAGGATTTCCTAAATTTGGAAAATTTGGACCAACTTTTTTTTTATTGTTCATCCTGACAATCAAATTGTTTGTCATTTACAATTATATCACAATAAAATGATGTGTCTGATACATCAAAATATTTTACACATGTCTCGTAGTAAATTGATACATTTAAATTTCATTGATTAATTCCAATCATTCTTTATCTTTGTTGCGTACATTTTACTCGAAAGTGTGCAAAAAAGAGCCAAAGTACATTTTAGCATATTTCTTGTAAACTGAAGAACGTATCAACTTGCCCAGGTCTCCCCTATAATAAAATATATTTTTTTTCTATTTGTGTACATCTATCGATAATTTTACATTCTCTCTCTCTCTATCTTCTCTAAACTACTCATCAGTTTTCTCATTTATCTATTAATTTTCTTGTTCCTTTCTCACAGTATGCGAGAACAAACTGCACGGTTTCTACGGGTCGATAGAGTCGCCGAATTTCCCGTACAAGTACGAGCAGAATCTCAACTGCAGCTGGACGATCGACGCCCCCATAGGTAACAGGGTCAACATCACGTTCTCTCATTTCGATCTCGAAGGACCGGGCAACGAGAACACCTGCTCCTACGACTATCTGCAAGTGTCTGAGGGTTTCCGCGACACACCGTCCCACGAACTCGCGAAACTCTGCAATTCCGACGTTCTCCCGGCCAAGATTCATTCGAAGGAGCATCAAGTGTTCGTGAAGTTCGTTACTGACACTTTGATCTCTTTCAACGGCTTCCGACTGGAATGGGTGGTCGACGGTTGCGGTGGACATCTGACAAGACCCTTCGACTCGTTCACCTCGCCCGGATATCCGTCCGCTTATCCCACGGACGTAGTCTGCGAGTGGCTGATTGAGGTCGACTACTCGCACAGCGTCGAGCTGACTCTTCACGACGTTAGTATCTCTCAAGTCGTATCTCAATTAGAGATCGTGATTTCGAGCGTGCGTTAACACGTGTACGTATGTGTTAAAATGCACATTGGTACATCGACACACTCAGATTCCATTTCGTGTGACTATTGATGTACAAGAAAGTATCTTGATGCACAAATTTCATAATTTCGAATATTCATGATTTCAAGAACAAATACAGTAGGAATTCTAGATAGAAATAGAAATAAAAGAAATTTCGAATAACCCGGCAGCAGATGGTTCTTTTCTTCGACTCTCAGAAAGCTTGATACAATCAATTCTGCTTGTGAATGGCAATGTGTAGGTATAATTCGATACACACGTACACCTGATATTAAAAATTATATAAATTGAAACATGGCCAAATTTAATACACGTGTGATAACGATCTTCATTTGGAGCACACACAACTTTTTGCTGCTCGAAAAAAAGTTGCCGAATGTTAAATAAATTCCACAGCTACAAGGAGCTAGTCTTTTTCAATCAGTGTGGGAACAGAATACACATTTGTACGTTTCATACAATGAAAATAAGAAAATGTTCATTAAGTGTTTCCATCAGAGATTATCTCAAATATATATAACAAACGTTGCCTTCAAGGGAAAAAAAAAATCCAAACATTCCAGTTCCTTCAATGACAATATAACTTCGCGAATATGAAGA